TATATATATATATATATATATATATATATATATATATATATATATATATATATATATATATATATATATATACATACATATAAAATCTAAAAGTATATATAAAAACTCACACAGTATCCAGTATACATACACACTGACAATAGAAGTACATACTAGCCATATCCAAGAAAATATCCCTTTAGCAACACTGTATGGACACAACATTCTAAATGTTGCAATTAATTGTAGCATACAAACAGTCATCCCTAGTTAAACAGTGCGTTATACAATTACTGCATTACTGAAGCACAGCGGTGAGTGAATGGGGCACAGGAAATCCTGCTGTTAGTGACAGCGAGACTGCATTTACAAACAAGAAAGAGAAAGAGAAGTAGGAAGGAGGAGATGAAGACAGTATCATCTCGATCTCCTCCTCCTTCCTTCCTGAACATGCACACTCAGCATCACACAAATAAATAAAACTAACCCCTGCCCCCAACAAAAATAAACTCTTGAAAGCATGAATGCATGGAAGAAGCAATAACCGCAGCAGAAAATAGGTCAGGGCCTATAGAAGTCCCAGTCCTGTGGAATGGGTTTCAGGCAGAGAATTGTGGGTATTTATCCTTGAGTCTTAACTCCACCTTGTTTCAACGGAGCCTTGAAACGCAGACAAGGTCTCTGCATTCTCTGAATACCTGCAATGCTAGCTTTGTGGTGTAGCGCTTCACATTTCTCAGACAATGCAAAGTGACCTGGGATTACATAAGTAACTCCTTCAACATAAGTCCATAAGTTTCCACCTATTTCATCATCCGCCAGGCATAAATCCAACTGATCAGACAACTAAAAGCACACCTCATCACTATAAGCCACACAGTTTGAAAAATCATTGTTCAAAGCACATACAAAAAAGTAGATAAATTATTAAAATATTACAATTAAATATTATATTTATGAGGGTCTGTTCAAATCGAAATAACTCAATTAATCAAATAAGAGCTAAAATAAAATGAAATAAAAAATATATTAATAAATGCAGAGTGTTTTATGGTTCGTAGTTTGACAGATGTTTGGAGTTGTTTATTACCTTGATATTGCAGGCTTGCTCCATCAAGCGCCGAGCGTTCTCTGCCGCCCTGTAGCGTTTTGGGAGCTGGACCCGGAAAAATTTCAGCGCACCCTCAAAGTCAGCTTGAAGCAGGTCTTCCTTGGAGGTCTGCATGCAGATAGAAAAACAGAACTGGTTTAGAGTCATTTCAGTAAAATCAACCTGATAAACTGCCTGAAGAGGAACTTTGCTAGGTGATTGTTTTCCTCATTTATGTTTGTATTGGCCTTTTGCGAACCTGACAAGCCACATAACTTTTACAGATGCTATATTGGTTAAGCATAAATCAGATATTAAAATCCATATGTCCAATGACAACAACAGTAAGAGTAAGATTTGCACAGTACAATATAATTTCTAAGGAAGTACCAATACTGAAATTCTAGCAGATAGCGAAATTTATTTTTTATTTTATGGCCAATATAACCGATATACAGTATGGCCAAAAGTTAATCTGCACTTCGCTAACAGAAAAAAAATAAATACAAATAATACAAATAATAATAATAATAATTTGTTTGCTGCAATTGAACATAATAAATAAATAAAATAAATAAATACACAAACAAACAAATAAATATATAATTAAAAATAATATTTTTTTATGCTGCAATTGAACTTAATGCATTAAAGAACTAACTAAATAAATAAAATTTTAAAATTTAAATTAAAAAGTAAAAAAAAAAAGTGTTTACTTACAACTTAAGGCATCAAAGTATTGTTAATAAAATAACTATTTTAATAAATATAATATATATATATTTTACTGATATTTTTACAAAGGCCACACAAGCAGCCTGGTAAGAGTCACATATAAACACACAAACAGACATGAAGACGGCCTCTATTTGCAGCAGCTGCCCCTCACCGCCAGCAGCCGGGGCACAAACAGGCGGTGACCCATGCCCAGCAGCCCCATGACTCTATCTGTACAGTCATTGCCCAGCCCACCCTTGTCCTCTCCAGCGCCCCCTTCCTCCAGCCTCCGCACAGCGGGTGGTATCTGAGCCCATAGCGGTGGTGAAGGCAAGTCTCTCTCTGGGGTCAAAGGTGAAAGAGCCTCTTGGGCTCCTTCAGAGTCCCTAGCATCGTCCTCCCACGGAGGCTCTGGGGCTGACCTGGAGTCAGCCACGTTGATGTCCCGAGACAGCGTCCAATTTTGGAAAAGTTCGTCCAGGCGGTTGATTCGGTAGTGCTAAAGCAGTCTTGGTGTCATTCGATCATGATTCGACAAGCGCGAGCATGCAGCGTCAAAAAACGGAAACCGGATTCACACTTACGTTGATCCATTTTGGGTCCGCAATGTAAACAATATCAGAGACCACGCCTAGTTTAAAAGACATCAAATCAAACCGAAAGTGGCTTGACATACTTCAAGGAAATACGCTTCGATCCCAGTTTATCATTGGCCAGCTCCTCCCGAAATCCCAAATTTGCAATCTGTTGCCTGGCAACAGGCAGGAGGGGAGTCGCGTGGTGCTGTCGAGACGTATTTTGAACGTCTTCAAAGCGTCTCAGACTGAAAGTTGAGTTATCGTCAGGTGGATCTAAGTCCATGATGTCAAGCCAAGTCCTCGTTCTCGCTCAGTCCAGAGTCTGCCAGCTCCACCATCCTGTCGAGGTCCAGAAGTATCCCAAAGGTGCCAAGTGTGGGATGAAGGAGGCGAGATGCGAGACTGGGTGGACGTTATCGTCTCCTCGTCCTCCGGCCTTCGTTACTCCAGCTCCAGTGGCTTCACGGCTTTGCTTTTCCTAAGTCGACGAGCGCGTGAGAGGAAGACGGGGAGGGAGAGATGCTCACAGAGATGCTGTCGATGCTAGAAAAGGCAGCGGAGTGGCAGAAAGGGAGGAGGAGAGGAAGATAGGAGGGGTGTCGCGAGGGAACGGGAGACCATGGACGAATGGACAGTAGACATGGCCGAGGCTCCAATGCAACTCATGCTAAATGCTAATTGCTGCTGGAAGCTCGCTGAGGGAACAGACAGAGGGACATGTGGAGAAACAGAGCGCGAGATGGAGGGGTGTGGAGTGGCAGAGAGAGAGAGAGAGAGAGAGAGAGAGAGAGAGGAGGAGGAGGAGGGGGTTTGGGAGCCTTCGGGGATAATGTCGTAATGGTTAGCCAATAGGAGCGAGGCAGTGCAACCCCCTCTAGCTCCTCTCACTCCCTCTCTTTCTCTCTCTATTAATGCACATCTCTTGCTTCCTCACACGCAGTCACATCAGCTTCTGTCCACCTGATTTCTTCTGTTTCCATTTAAACATGGCGGGAAAACTGCAGAACACACTAACATTATTTCTTTCTTTTATACACGTTTAATCAGTGAGGAAAATATTAAATAAAACACACATTGGCAACCTGTCAAGAATGTTTGGTTTATATTTCACCCCAAAATAAGATTTTTATTTTTTTATTTAAAATAGCTAGAAAATAGTAATAGAATATTATTTATTTAAAAAATTAGCTCGAAGACAAAAAATTCTGGATTATAGTAATGAAAATATAATCAGAATCCCAATTGAGAAAAATGTGAACTACAAAATAACATTCAAATGCGTTCATATATTATTTTTTGTTATACTTTATATTAAATTTCTTTTATATAATAATCTTTTTCAGAATTAACACAGAACAGTTCAAATTACAAAATAGTATGCCTTATGACACTGAATATTTTTTAATCATGTTTTTTTAATAAATTTATTTTTTATGTGTATTATATATATTCTAATTATATATTATATATATATATATATATATATATATATATATATATATACACACACACACACACACATACAGTCAAACCAAAAATTATCCAAACATCAGATATGATTTTTTATATTTTTTACTAGTGGGTGCAGGACACTATAGTTCATTTATGCAAGTGACGATAGCAAAATAAAGTAAACTGAGACATATTATACCCAAAAATTCTTCATACAGTTTACTACCAGTAAAATTTATAAAAATTATTCAGACACTTTGACCTGACCATGTTTTGCTTAAGTGTTTTTCTTTAATTGCTAATGTGACCTTTTTAGACCACAGACTGAACAAAATTAAGCATTGCTTGGTAATTAGTTGACCTGAATTTGTATTATCTAATTGTGTACTTAAATTTAACAGCTGACAGCAATTCAATCAAACACCTTACATACCTTTCTATCAAAGTTATCTGACATTATCAAGATGAATTTGTTCTGACACAGTTTAACTCTGAGTCTTGTCATATTTTATTACCATTTTCTAAACTATAGCGAATAAACTGATAATGTGAGAAAAACCAGAGAACATTATTCTGGCTCTCACATCTGCTGTAATTACAGAACAGGGAAGTGGAGTCTATTTCTCCACATTAAACCAGCGGATATATCCGCGTCTCCTCCATAGGTTAGCTCAGACACATTCAGGCCAGCGCAGTCCGCTCGAGCAATAGCTCCATTTGTCATTCTGCCATTGCAGCTTACACAAAGGTGTGGCTTTGTGGATGAAGCTAATGTATTAGTGCTGAGACAGAATTGGCCAACTGGTAATGACAAACTGCCCTTTAAATTGCAATGGAAGCTGAATAAACACTTTATTCAAAACCACAATTAGAAACTATCAAAATATTTGGTGTTTATAGGGGACTTTTGTTCTAAAAAGTAGCACTTCTGGGCTTTGCTTGCAACCCTCTAAAAACCGCTGTACTATAGTCCTAATGCACCATGAATAGTGCTGTATCAATAGAGGTCTAGTGGCATTACTGGGCTAATGACCCACAGCTGTATATACTGTGTCATCTATCGTGTTGCTGATGATCAATAACATCACAACAACAAACCCAAATGCACGCATACATCACTCCGACAGCAGCCATATGACTCGGATCAACTTCCTTATTATATAGTGTTAACGAGCCAATGCATCTCATGAAAAGAAAAATGGCACTTGCGTGCAGGAAAAGTGATAAACTGAGGTTATTTCCTGTTTACGCTGCATTTCCTAACCTGTTTTCATGTGTGGTTATTTGTATTATTATGAAATGGTATCCTGTTTTTGGGCTCATTTTTAAATGAAATATATGCGTTTCATATTTGAAAAGCTTCATTTAAAATTAAGCATCCAGTATTTTTTAATTTTTACGCAGTAATTTTTTTTTTTTTTAGCAGTGTTATATATGAGATTGTAATACTATATTACAATATATGAAGTGTTTCAGTTTCTTGTTTAATATTGCTCATAGCAAAAACTACAAAACCAGAAAGCTCTGAACAGCTGCACACAAATATTTTTAAAAAATCACAAAAAAACCAAGGCCATATGTCAAGGCCATATGTCTTCTGACCAGCAGAGGGAGACACACTCAATATTTTCCTTTTTTACTTGCAGAGTTGATGTATTTTAATCTAAAAGCAATAAATCATCTGCCAGGATTCTCACATTTTAGCTAATGAATTTCCCTGACTTTTTATGATTAGGATAAGGACTTAAAATAAAAATAAATCAATGAATAAAATAAAACGAAATAAAAAAAATTAAATACTGTACTCAAAGAAATGCCGTTGTTATTGGTAAATATAACAAATTATTATGAGAACTGTTTTTGTACTGTAATTAGAATTAAGCTGAAGTTAAATAAAATATTATTTTAGGTGAAAAACAAATGAAAATGAGAAATATTGCTTTGGCAACTAACTGAAATAAATTAATGCTGAAGTACTAAAATTATTAAAAGCTATAAAAGAACAAAACTAATAATAAAATAAAATAAAATGAACTATTAATAAAAAAAATACTGCACTCAAATAAATGGTGTTGTTATTGGTAAATATAACAAATTATTATGAGAACTGTTTTCTGTATTTGAAATAATGCTGAAATAAAATAAAATGTTATTTTAGATCAAAAACTTAAATGAAAATGAGAAATATCGCTTTGGCAACTAACAAAAATAAGCTTAGATGAAGTACTAAAATGACTAAAAGCAATAAAGAAAAAACGAAATGAATAAAATAAAATGAAATAATTAAAAAGTAAAATAAAATAAAATGTTGCACTCAAAGAAATGGTGTTGTTATTGGTAAATATAAGTTATTATGAGAATTATTTTCTATAAATGAAATAAAGCTGAAATTAAATTAAATATTATTTTAGTTGAAAAACTTGAATGAAAATTAAACGTTGTTTTGGCAACTAACTGAAATAAATTTAATCTGAAGAACTAAAATGACTAAAAACTATGTGATATGATAAAACGATTTTATTGTGATAAAAGCAGAACAAAATGATTAAATTTAAACTTAAAATATAAACTAAAAATATAAAAATGAAAGCCAATTCAAAATTAATACTATAATATATAAAGTATACTAAAATAACAGATTCTAGCTAATAGTTTAAATCTGAGCACGACTAGGAATAACGCCACAACTTTTTATTGTTTTAATTAATTTACAATTAATTAAGTTTTCCAATAATTCATAAATAGGACAGAGATTTTAAAAAATAATAATAATTTCACATTTCTGAGCATAACTACATACATTTCTATGACTTCACCGATTTTATTAATTTCCCCATTACTTTTCTGTCATATAAACCACCTCCATCATGTGAATTTCCCTGACTTTTCTGAACTATTTAAAACAAGGAAATGTAAGCAGGGTGAAATGCAGTACCTTCAGAAGAGCCAGCGCCACATTGAAAATGATGCTCAACCCCTGTGAAGACAACAAAACATTTAATTACACACACAGAATCATTTCTTTGAACATCAAACTGCCTGGAACGACAAAACAGGCCACATACAAAGGTGCTTTATTGTAAAAAGAAACGATACAATTACATTTAAATGGTTCGGAGGAGCCGCAGTGCTGTACTAGCAAAGGGAAGTGCGATGTCGAGCACATTTGCATTTCCTAAAATAGCTCGAGTCATACAAAGAGCTCAAATGTGTGGGAGTGACAGGAGCTGAAGGAAGAGGCAAACAATCTCGCTCGCACACGCTCAGGTGGACTGACAGGCAGGTGGATATGAAGGACGGTGTGTGTGTGTGTGTGTGTGTGTGTGTGTGTCAGAGGGGAGCAGGTGGCATCGCAGAGAAGCAATGCTGAAGTCAGCTCCGCATGGAAACACCCGTCTCCAGCATCGCTTAGACAACTCGTTCACATGGCAACACCGAGCTAAAAATATCCAGAGTTCTCTATTAATAACAGACGGCAGAGGCTATCTCTCCCCGACAGGCTCTAGATGGCGCTAGGGGGCTAAATGGAAATTGCAGGGGGGATAATTGTGTGTCTGCATGTGTGTTTGTGTTTGTTGAGGGAGGGATGAGACTTTACTCTTTGGTTTGGGAGCTGAAGGTTATGCAAGAAATACGTATACTATGATTCTTGTTAGAATTTATACTAGGAATAACTATCAGTATGTATATCAGGCAAAGCAATTTACAACAACCTGAACAATTCGTTAGCTTGAAGAATTGCCATAATTGCAGATGCAGGAACTATTGAGAATAATTCGGGGTCGGTGAGATTTTTTATATTTTTGAAAGAAGTCTCTTTCGTTTGATCAAAAAAATACAGTAAATCTGTAATATTTGTGAAACATTATCACAATTTAAAATAATTGTTTTTTATTTTAGTATATTTTAAAATGTAACTCATTCTTCGGATACAAAGCTGAATTTTCAGCATCTTTAGTGTCACACGATTCTTCAGAAATCATTCTAATATGCTGATTTGCTGCTCAAGGAACATTTATTATTATTATTATTATTATTATCAGTGTTGAAAACAATTTTTCCTGGAATATTTTTGTGTAAATGGCATTCTTTGAGTAGAAAGTTCAAAAGAACTGAATTAAAAAAATGTATAAATTAATCTTTAAATAAATTAGTCTTTACTGTCACATTGACTTATATGTTCTTTGCTGAACAAAAGTATTACTTAAAAATAAATAAATATGTATTAATATTATAATTATTAGATAAGTTATATATATATATATTTGCATTTGTTATTATAATTTTTTTCTAGAAGTAGAGTAAATCTAAGTTTGATATATACGTTTATATATATATGAGATACATATTATATAGATAATACTATAATCTAATCTAAGTTTAAATTTAATCCTTTTGTTTTTTTTCTTTAAAGCTTATATATATATTCTTTACATTCTTATACATTTAATGTGAATAAACAAATTAATTTTAAAAAATGGCATGACAATTAACTTAAAATGTGTAGACTTATTAATTAGAACTACTTACAGATATCTTATTTATTAGTTTATCAACTTTCAAAGATTTTGTGCTAATAACCTTTAAAAAATTTGCAAGCCCAGTAATTATTTAATCTTCAAAAGTGCTCACTATATCAACACCGTCGCTTGTGAACCAGACTTTGTTTCCCGACGGACTGATAACAAATCCTGTGTGCCCTTAGTCCTGGAGGTGGTTTGAAGGTAGCCAATCAGATTAGAGCTTGCCAAAGCAAGAAAGTGCTTTCCGGTTTTGTGCGCAAAAGCACACAATGGCACAATTTTAAAGCTTCTTTAAAACAGTATATATTGGGGAAAAAACGGAACACAAATAAACTGAAATGTAAATATGATTTAGGGATAGATGCGTGAACAAGAAGGACTACGATCACTATACGAGTTACTTAACAGTAGAGCCAGAGCCTCAAAAGAAGGCAGAACACTAAATGAATTAGAGACGAACTGATAGATGGATAAGGAGAGAGAGAGCATCATGCTCATCATGCGATTCATTGACTGAGACAGGCTGAGGAAACTTTTAATTGTCTTGCCTCAGGCTACCACAGACGCTGAATGAAAGGAAAAGGGGAGAAAAACGATGGGAAAAAAAATAAAAGGAAAAGCTCTCTGAGGAGCAGAAAGGTCGAAGCGTTTCTTTTGGAAAGACACAAAGCCTATTTCTAAGAAGTCAAAGATGCTTGCTTTGGGAAATCTAACAGAGTTCAAGAAGTTTAGAAACAACTGAACTTTCCGTCAGTTTCATGTGCTACTGGAAACCCAACAACTACAATATTTATTTAGCCAGAAAAGAAACATAAAAATAAAAAAATTATGCAATCCGCCAAGTTTATCTTTAGGGTTACCAAGAGCTTACAAAGGGCAATACTTTAATAGATTTTTCACTGAAGAGATACGGAGTGTACCACCCTGGTGTCACGTTTGTATGCCCGCCTGGTCTGTTCTGTTCTCGTGCTCCATTTAGGCGAGCTGCATTCTGATTGGTTCGGATAGCATACTGCGGGAGGTCGGGGGTGTGGAAAATTGTGCTATAAAGCGATTTAGAAATCGCGCACACTCAAATCGCGATTTTATGATGATTTAGATTAATCGCACAGCCCTAAACGGTACCCAACCCTACAGACATATTTGTTTAGAACTGTTTTAAATGGTGCTTGATCTGTGCAGATTTCTCTCCTGATTCAGATGAGATGACTTTTTCACTGGCGAAAGCAATATTAAGGATCGAGGACTCAAGAAACAGATCAAACTGAGAGAGACTAAATCCAGGTTTCTTGAAGCATCTTGGAGACGTTGCCACAGTTCTTCTCAGTTTGTTCTGTTTCTTCATGTCATTCCAGACAGACTGGATGATGATGAGATCAGATCTCTGTGTGCAGCACTGGCTGTTCTCAGACTCCTTGTGCAAACAAAAATCTCACTGGATTATTACAATTAATGGCAAAATGAGTGTTTGGAAATGTAAACTGATATTTCCTACTGACACACTACAGCAAAAGATAGAAATAACTGACTTAAAACCATTTTTTAGCTGGTGAAAAAAAATCTTGATGTATTTGTTTATTACAAACGCAGCTTTTCACTTCACAAGATATTAAGTGATGGACTGTAGTCGTGTAGATTATTGTGATGTTTTTATCAGCTGTTTGGACTCTCATTCTGACGGCACCCATTCACTGCAGAGGATCCATATTATGAGCAAGTAATGTTAAATTTCCCCAAAGCTGTTCTTCTGATGAAGAAACAATCTCATCTACATCTTGGATGGCCTGAGGGGGAGTACATTTTCAGCACATTTTCACTTTTTGGTGAACTATTCCTTTAACAAACACAAAGGCCAAACCTGTAGCAGACGCTCCAGCTGGTAGAACTTGCAGTGAAGATCTTCAAAGTTGTTTTTGTAGAGATCCCGGAGACCATATTTGTACATGATCTTCACCAGCACGCAGAAAGCTTGCTCCTCGGGCATCTAAAGAAAAAAAGTGAGAGACATCACCATGATATTTCAGATGCTAATGCTTTCTACATAAATAAACACAACCAGCCCATGATGTTTAGATGTGTCAACTGTCTGTCCACCTGTCTATGGCAGTCTACAGTGATGCTGTCAGAGTTTGTTTGTGTTTCTGAGATGGAGAGCGAGACAGACAGAGAGCTGGGTATTAAATCACACAGACAGCGTGTGTGTCCCGAGCTCAATGGGCTCCTGCAGGTAGACGGGCGCCGTCATTAATATTTCTGACAGCTGCTGAGCTTCCTGGGCAAGGCCACGAGAAAGACACTTACACTACATTATAGAAATCCCCAAACGTGCTCTAATATCATGCCCCATACAGGGCGGCGTTGCAAAAAAACAAAAACGCCATCTTATTCAGCCCTCGCTTTAATTAAATATGGAATTAACCGTTTCATCAATGTCTTTCTCTCGCTTCCTGTTCCTCTCCGCCTACTGTTAGCTCAATAACAAGCCTCAAAAAGTCAAAGATAAGATACAATGAGGTAGGTTTCTATTTACACTTTTATTAGTGCTTATTTAGTTAGCAAGCTCTCTTAAAAAAACTCTTCATACTGCTGATATACCAACACAGCAGTTGACCTTAAAGATGAAACGGACCTAAAAAGAAGTTTACGTATTGCCTGCTAAGAGAAAGTAATGTGCACTTCTGTTGTGGTATAAATTCACATTTCAAAACGTGAAAGCCTGCATTCGTATAATTTTGCATTTTTGGCTTAGTCTCTCAAAAATTCATTTAAATACATAAATTAAATGTTAAATAAATAAAATGGATAATAAATTAATAAAACCACTTTCAAATAAAATAATAAAATCATTAAACAACACAGGACAAAAAACAAAACGAAAACAACTACAAAATACAACAAAAACAAAACACAACACAAAAACGAAAACGAAATAAAACAAAATACAAGACAAAAAACGACTGAAAAAACGAATAAAACAAAAACACTACAAAATAAAAAAACAAGATACCACAAAACACACACACACACAAAACTAAACAAAATACAACAACAAAAAACAACACAAAACACAAGACAAAAACAAAACTAAATACAAGACAAAAAATGAATAAAACAAAAAAAACACTACAAAAAAAACAAGTTACCACAAAACACACATGCACAAACACACACGCACAAAACTAAACAAAATACAACAACAACAAAAAACAACACAAAACACAAGAGAAAACCGAAATAATACAAAATACAAGACAAAAAACGACAAAAAAAACGATTAAAACTAAAAACACTACAAAATACAAAAAAAAAAAACAAAAGATACCACAAAACACACACATGCACAAACACACACACACGCACAAAACTAAACAAAATACAACAACAAAAAAACAACACAAAACACAAGAGAAAAACGAAATAATACAAAATACAAGACAAAAAACGACAAAAAAAACGATTAAAACTAAAAACACTACAAAATACAAAAAAAAAAAACAAAAGATACCACAAAACACACACATGCACAAACACACACACACGCACAAAACTAAACAAAATACAACAACAAAAAAACAACACAAAACACAAGAGAAAACCGAAATAATACAAAATACAAGACAAAAAAACGACAAAAAAAACGAATAAAACAAAAAACACTACAAAATACAACAAAAAAAAACAAAAGATACCACAAAACACACACATGCACAAACACACACACACACACACGTACAAAACTAAACAAAATACAACAATAAAAAAAATATACAAAACACAAGACAAAAAAACTAAATGAAAAAAAACACTACAAAATACAACAAAAACAAAAGATACAACAAAACACAAAACAAAAACAACAATAATAAAAAAAAATCACCTCTCCACAACAAGCAACATGATTTGAGGTAACATTCATGTCTCTAACATGTATGGAAAAAAACAAAAGATACCACAAAACACACACATGCACAAACACACACACACACACACGTACAAAACTAAACAAAATACAACAATAAAAAAAATATACAAAACACAAGACAAAAAAACAAAATGAAAAAAAAAACACTACAAAATACAACAAAAACAAAAGATACAACAAAACACAAAAGTAATTGCTCCCACAGTTGATTTCTTCACACCAAGCTGCTTACCTATTGCAGAAACCTTACCTATTGTTCAAACAGATGCCATTAATACAGGTAACGAGTGGAGGACAGAGGAGCCTCTTAAAGAAGAAGTTACAGGTCTGTGAGAGCCAGAAATCTTGCTTGTTTGTAGGTGACCAAATACTTATTTTACCGAGGAATTTACCAATTAATTCTTTAAAAATCCTACAATGTGATTTTCTGGATTTTTTTTCTCATTTTGTCTCTCATAGTTGAGGTATACCTATGATGAAAATTACAGGCCTCTCTCATCTTTTTAAGTGGGAGAACTTGCACAATTGGTGGCTGACTAAATACTTTTTTGCCCCACTGTATGTCCCTCTGAGCTGAAGGATTTTGTCTAGATTGAAGGTCTTTTGCACAATTTAGGAGGCTTTTAATCTGCCGGTGCCAATCAGCTGATGGAAAACCTCTTAAGACTCCTCACAAAGGAGATTTAACAGAAAACACCGCACCACTTTTCTAATCCACTCAATGCGTTTGTCCTGTTTTTCTATAATATGAAATTTAATATATCATTTTAAAATTATAATACAAATTTATATTATAAGATTTTTATAAAATGCATTTTATATAATTATTCTATTTTATTATGTATTATTATATTATAAAATGATCAAAATGTATTACTTTGCTAAGCAATAAAATGTATTTATGAATTACAATTGTCAAGCGGCATAACAATGCACTAATTCTGAATTCAGCTGATTTCTGATCAAAGGTGTGCATAGTTTAAAACTGCTTCGTTTTATGTGGCTCATTCATTCAGATTTTACAGCCAGAACCATCTGTTTAATTATAGAGAGATAGATGTGAGCCTAACTGGATAATTGCCTCCTGGATAACTGCATAATCTATTACTCTAGCTTTGTTTCTAAATATAATAATGAATCTACGACGCGTAACTATGTTTAATTAGCAGAGTGTACAAGTTATTTTCACAGACGCAGGGAGGTGAGTACATCACATGTGGTTGGATATCTATCAAGGCTGTTCGTATTACGGCAAAACAAAAGGTCAGTGGATAGAGATGTTGCAGCGGTGTCGAGATGCTTGTTACCAGACGGCAGGAGTGAGTCATGCCTGCAGGATGGGCAGCTGCAACCTCACCTTGCAGATCTTGTAAAGAGAGTCTTGGCCATCGCCGCCTGAGTCTTTGAAGTAGTGGTGAGCAGGGAAGGTGCGATGGATGTCTCTGGTGATGATGGCTTCCTGGGCGGAGTCCTGTGGATCAAATCAAGAGTTAAAATCAGGCATTTCTTTCTTTTGGTATTTCCTTCCTTCTTGCTTTCTTTCTTTCTTTCAAGTGTGTTATTATTATTATTACTATTACTTATTAAAATAATTTATAATAATAAGATGCTTGTTACCAGACGGCAGGAGTGAGTCATGCCTGCAGGATGGGCAGCTGCAACCTCACCTTGCAGATCTTGTAAAGAGAGTCTTGGCCATCGCCGCCTGAGTCTTTGAAGTAGTGGTGAGCAGGGAAGGTGCGATGGATGTCTCTGGTGATGATGGCTTCCTGGGCGGAGTCCTGTGGATCAAATCAAGAGTTAAAATCAGGCATTTCTTTCTTTTGGTATTTCCTTCCTTCTTGCTTTCTTTCTTTCTTTCAAGTGTGTTATTATTATTATTATTACTATTACTTATTAAAATAATTTATAATAATAATAAAATATTTGTATGATATTTTTAAATATTTTATTACCATTTTATTTATTATTTATATTATTGTATACAATATTGTATACAATAAATACATATTTATTAATATTAATTTATTTAATTATTGTATTTATTATTAATTATAATTAGACTAATTTAAATCAAATTTAAGATAAATCAAAATAAATATTAATAATATTATAATAAGAATAAAATATTTTGTATTACACTTCATTATTATTATTCTAATCATTTTCATCAATAAAATGATTGCATTATAACATTTTTATCGTGTAATTTATTTATTATTAAACAATTACACTAATTATTTTTCTATAATAATAATAATAATACTAATATGAATTTTATATTTACATTGTTCATTTTTTTTAATGAATAAAAACTACCGTATTACAAAAATCTGTATTTCTTATAATTAGACAATTATTAGTTAAATAATTTGATATTTAATAATAATAATAATTATTATTATTATTTTAATTACTATTTTGCTTTATTGTTTACATAATTTTTTTGTAAATAAAAACTACTGTATTATAAATATAATTATTTCTTATTATTATATAATTATTAGTCATAAAGAAACTGATATTTTATAATAATAATAATTTAGTTTAAGTTGTTATTGGAGTGTGTTTTCTGTGTAATTACTAATCCAGTCTTTCTATTTAAAATGTTATGTTAAATGTAATGCTACTTGCTTGAAAATTACATTGAACATTGTTTCTACAGCAAATATATTTCAGTGTAGCTCACCGTAACATGCAGTTTTATACTACTTTAATTGGACCCAAGTCAGATTTTAGACATTTTTGGGCCTTTTTGGCACTTTTTCATAGCAACCACGACAGATGGTGAACATATCTGTGATTTGAACAGATTAGTGTGCAGGCAGATGAGATACAGATGAGGTCCTGTCATACATGTAGCCTGGACTGGAAAAACTCAATTACTAATCATATGATGGTCATTTTCTCTACACCCTTTGATCTCAATCAATGCTCGCTGCAGCTCCAACACAAACTTGAAGGTTGAGCTTGACTGAGGACAGTGGAGGAGAGAGTACAATGTGTATTTTGTCAAGAAGACTCTAAGAAGGGTGCTTGAGCTAAGGAATAACCTTGTGTGAAGTGTTTACAGAGCTGAGACAGATTAAGAAGCGCAGGAAAGTGTCTTACTCAGCACAGCGCGCTCTTCAAAGCCGAACAGCAAATCGAATTAACAAGTCAAATACAGACAGTGTTCCAGTCACATGATGGAGTACATGAACAGACTCTTGAGATGCAAAACAGGGCTGAAACTCCACTTAAAAACATCTGATCTGGACCGAACTGACTATAGAATGAGTTTTCTGCCACACAGCATTATGGGAAGTGTAGTTTAGTTGCACAAGCCTGTCCTAAACCGGCTAAATGAGCAGAATATTAAGCAGTTGACTTTCCCGTCAAGTCTTGAGTGAACAGATCCAAGGATTTCACGCCGTGGCAACATCAGACGGTGACTGCGGAAATGTCTCTGACAGGCTGAGTTGTAATAAGGTGCATTCCATTAACAGCGTGTGTCAGGGCTAATTAAAGGCATCATTAGTCAACTAATGCGAGAGAGGGAAGGACAGGTTTCCGCCTCCCCTCACCTGTTTACACCACGCCTGAGAGTTTGTTAAAGGGTGGGCAGAATAAAGCCTGATAAGAGGATGAAGGGAACCTTCAGGGAGAGTCCGGGGTTCAAAACAAAACAATACACAAAACAAAACAAACAAAAACAAGAAAACAAAACAAAAAACCACAAAACAAAACAAAAAATACAAAAACAAAACATATATAAATAAATAAAAGAATACATTTAAAAATATATAATATTTATCATAACCTTGCGTTCCTTTTTCTCTTCAACACACACGCTATGAATAATGCAGCCTTCTTTTCTGCCATTTCTCCGTCTACATGATCCAGATAAATTCTTGCTGAATAGCACAGAACATGGCACACCCATTTGTGTAAGCTGCTTCATCAGTTTCTGTTTATGCAGAAGAAGAACGAGGCTGTAAAGTCCATTTCCCATGAAGGTTGCCGCAGCATATGTGGCAGTGGTGACCTTGTTCTTTTTTGTAATAAAGATATACAATCTTCTTGACGGAGTAATCAGGCAAGCACAAACACATACGGAAACATTATTCACATATGATACGACTATTCTTTATTTATTATAATACTTATATTTATTATTATTTTGGAGTAGTTTTCATATTTATTTTTTAGTTTAAGTTCATTTTAGCACGGTTAAATCGTGATTAATTGCATACAAAATAAAAGTTTGTGTTTACATAATGTATGTGTGTTTGATGTTTATTTTCTCAGACAAATACACTGCATTGTTCTAACAACAGAATATAATATAAATGTAATACTTGTTTCTTTTTTTTCTTTCAGGGTGTATCACTTGTTGGTGACATGTCAGGAATGATCCAGCCTGGTGGCCTAGGCAACCATAAGTTAAGGCAACTTAAGGCAAAACCTAGGCAACTTGTGGCAAACTTTGTCCACCAACGAGCCATTCAATGTTGACTAAAAGATAATGTACACTTTTTACCATTTCTACAGTACTTTCTGTAATAGATTATTTATTTTTAATCAGTACAGTTGTTTCATTTCCAGAACATACTGCACCTTGTCGAGATGATGCTGATTCTACCTATATCAGCTGCACAGTGTGAGAGAGGATACTCAGCACAGAACCGCATCATAAACTCCACCAGAAGCAGTCTGCACGTTTCTACCACGGAGGATCTTATTAGAATCAGCACTGAGGGACCATCTCTGGAAAGATTTGATCCAAGCAAATGTGCAGAGAAGTGGCTGTCTTCAAGAAAACCACACTACAAAGCCTGGCCAGCTGAAATATGCAGCATCTGATTGCTGTTCACTGTGTGGCAGGAACATTAATTGTGTTCAGCAGTGCAGATGTCAATAAAGCTTTTAAAAGGACAGTTCACCCAAAAATTCTGTTATCATTTGCTCAACCTCTTGTCAATCTCACCAAATATACATTATGTCATTGTTAACCTAAAGAAAGACCTTAAGTCTTTCTTTCATCTTCAGAACTCACTTGAAGGTATTTTTAATATTATATGTATATAATGATATTAGGGTGGGTAAATGATGACAGAATTTTTATTTGTTGGTGAACTGTCCTTTTAAATATATTTGAGCACTACACTTCAATGTCTGTACATTGTGTATTTGTGCATATGAAATTTATGCATGATTTTTTTTTGCCTTTTGAGGACAGCCTGTCCAACTGTTTTTCTGAAACTGAAAATATTAAATGTTTATCTGAAGGTAAACTCTCACGCTAGGTTTCTGAATTTTTTTTCTCATGCTCTTCATACTTGTGCATGTTATGTGGCATATTAATATTGTGTCATTTAAGGGGGGGGGGGGTCATTTAAATTTTTGACTGTGCTCCTAAATTTTTTTTGATTAGGAGCACAAGTGCTCCTAATAAAAAAACCTTACCATAGAGCCCTGGTACTGTGTTAATTTATTAGGTAAAATTTATGTACAATAGGAAAATGTTATATTTATATGTAAAATTTTTATATTTGTATAATATTAACATATTATTTAGATGCACGCATTTGTATGGGTCAAAATTATAAATGTTTCTTTTATGCCAAAAATCATTAGGATATTAAGTAAAGATCATGTTCCATGAAGATATTTTGTAACTTTCCTACTGTAAACTTAATTTTTGATTAGTAATATGCATTGCTAAGGACTTCATTTGGACAAATTTAAAGGCGATTTTCTCAATATTTCGATTTTTTTGCACCCTCAGATTCCAGATTTTCAAATGGTTCTCGGCCAAATATTGTCCTATCCAAACAAACCATACAACAATGGAAAGCTTATTTATTCAGCTTTCAGATGATGTATAAATCTCAATTTTGAAAAATTTACCCTTATGACTGGTTTTGTGGTCCAGGATCACATATATTATGTAAACAAACTTTTATTTCCGATGCGATTAATCGTGATTAATCACTTGACAGCCCTAGATAATTTAACTGATATTTTCGGAAATGATAAAAGCTTCAGTTACCATTAACAACACTGATTATTAATTATGTCATTAGTTAATTAATTACATGCATGTTTGTATATACATTTCAGTGTTTTTATAACTAAAACTACTAAAAAAAATGTGTTAATTGCAATAAAGCTGAAATAAAATTAAATAAAAAGTATATAAATAATACTAAACTAACTCTAATAAGTACCATATGCATGTATTAGGGCTGCACGAAAAATCGCATGCGATATTTAATGCGCATCTTGTCAGTAAAGCCGGTTCTGTAATCAGCGGTAAATCTCCATCACGTGGGTGCTTTCACATTGAGCAGCATTAACTACACAGAGCCGTTGTTCACGGACGAGCTGCGCAAAAAATCGCACGAATATACACACACACACACACACACACACAGTTTTTCATCTAATCTTAATTTTATTTCAGATTTATTTCAATTAATGAAAAATATTTTGATAGTTTTATTACATATTTATAAAGTATATTATAAATTATATAAATAAATTATATAATAAACACACACATACACACATAACCATGTAAAAGAGTAAAAATAGCATAATATGAATATATCAGACCAGAAGCTACTGTTATCAGTTAATGGGAGCGGCCATAACTTCTCAATCACTGCAACCCTAGTAATAAACTCTAATGTCACACTATAGCCTAAGGCGAACTCTGACCTTTGCTCAGCAACGACCTTTAGTGGGAATTATACAAAACCCGCCTTTTTACAGCATGTGCCATATTGGAGCTTTT